ATGTTGATTGGGCGGCGAGAAGGTCAAGACCACGGGATTGAAAACAAGTGCTCACTGTGAAACGAATATTTAAGTTCATTTGCAATCTCCCCATACTATATATATTAGGAATACATCTAACTTTAAATTTTGATTTTTTTTTTATAAAGTAATAGGTGTTAATATTTAATTTAGTTATTTTTAAAAATATATATACTTAAGTTCATTTAATTTAATAATTAATAAATAAAAACTTTTAAATATAAAAAATATGTTGTAATTAAAATTATAAAATATTAATTTCTAAATAAAAAAATTTTAATATTAAAAACCTCTTTATTTAAGTGTTTTTATTTTTTAATTTAAAATGATATAAAACATAAAACAATGGACTCTTAAATATAAAATATAAAACAATGGACTCTTATTAAAGTACTATTAATAAACTAATTTTCAGTTTCACTTTTCCTCTTGTGAGGGGCGTTTAGACTTTAGATTCTTTTTGGCGGATGGCGCCTGGCAAGAAGTCTAGACCACAGAATATTTCAATTATGCTGAGCCATACAAAAGACAATTATGCTTGCAAGTTGCCCCGGTGCAGGACCTTGGTCCCCTCCCTGTGTTCATAAAATAAGCAAATAGTGGTACTTACTGGATCTCTCCTTAAAAAAAAAAATAGAGTAGTACTGGATCTGGATTCCATTAGGTCACATTTCCAAACATCAAATCATTAAATATCTCAAAAAAATACTAAACTACTACTTCTTCTTTGTTTTTTTCTTTTTTCGAGGAATACCACTTCTTCTTTGTTTAAAATACCGGGTACTCTTCTCCAGCGTAGTGATAATATTTGATTGTAAAAATGACGACATTGTTATGTTTTATTGTGTTCGCTCTTATCTCCCCCTCTCTATTTATCTATTGAAAATATATAATAATTATAATGAATAATTGTTTTTATTAAAAAAAATACTGAACATTATGCAGACCTTAAAGACACTTAATAAGTCCACTTAATTATAATGTAAATTATGATGTTATTATATTATATTTTTTTCATTCTGTATTCATAAAAGTGCACTTTTTCAACTCTAGGTTAGGTTTAATTCCTTTTTTCTTCAAAAAGTATCTTTGTTCAAAAAAAGAATTATACTTGCTAAAAAAATAACCTGAAGTAGAAGAATTTTTTTGGTACATGGAAAAAAAGTTTGATTCTTGACATTTTAGGAGTTTAAACCCATAACATTAACTCCAATTAAGGCTTTAATGTTTGGCATTAGGGGAATTGTGGAGAAATTAGCCCATTATTAGCTTATTAAAAAATCAAACTTGTTAATAAAGTATTAAAAAATAACCCTAATAAGATGAGTTAACGGTTAAGAGTTTAAAATTGTAATTTAAAGATTTTAAATTTAAGTTTTGAATCAAGTAAGGAGAAATTTGAGAATAAAAGAGAACCTAAATTTTTTTACAAATTACATCACAATTTATTAAGTATTAATTGTACTTTGTTATTATTAATACACATTGAAAATAAAATTTACATGGTATAGATGTTAAAATTATTATTAATTTTTTTGTTTTTCATATAATTTAATATCTAAAAAATTCATTTATTGTACTCTAACAACACAAATTAGACAAATTCATTTTTTATTAAGTGAAAAAAAGGATAACCTTTTTTAACTAAGTCATGACTTTTTGAAGTGGTTGCTTTATATATATAACTTAAAATTTAAGGGCATGTTTGGTTGGGGAGGAAAGTTTTTCCTCAACTTTTCCCATGTTATTTACATATTTTTATATATTTATATTACAACAAAAGAAGGTAATAGTGGGATTTTAATTATTTATTTTTTTGACACAATTTTTAATCAATAAATCTTTTTTTCATATTTTTAAAGAGAAAAAGTTTTCCTTTACTTTTTTAAAGTGGAACAACTTAATAATTTTCTTATTAACTTTTCTTTATGTCATACTATATATGAAAAAATTAATAACTTAACAAAATTTTAATAAAATTTATCAATTTTTCATATAATTCTTTCTGAACTACTTTTCTAATAAAATATTTTTGATTAAATTGGCCTCTAATCAAACACACTTCTAAACATATACATGTCTTTTAAGATATGGTGTGTTTTTCTTTAAGTAAATTACATATTAAATTTTTTAATTGATAAAACTTATGCGTAACATTTTAATATTTTAAGAGTAGTGAAGTTTTAGTAACAAATTTATATAAATTAATATTTATTGACTTTAAAAACTTAATTGCAGGGAGTTAAGCACCTGACCTTTAGGCCTAGTGATAACTGCCACAATAAAAGGTGTATCCCCCTCCCCTTGGGGTGGGTTCAACCTACCCCATGACCAATTGTTCAAAAAAAAAAAAATAAAATAAAATTGCAGGGAGTTAAGGTCATAAAATTAAACAGTTAAGCTCGTAAATTGATAAAATTTCAATTATTTGAAAAACAGAGTTATTCCTTTCTATATTTCACCTACAAGCTACAAGCCTATATCATGCTTTTATGTATGGGTTTTCAATGGAAAAACCTGACAGGTTATGGTTGGTCTAGTTGTTGAACTTTCGCCATCATCACCACCAAATCCCTTTTACCTATTTCATTTTAATGATTTTTTCGACATTACAGCCTGCCCTGAAAGTGGCGGTTCTTATCCCATTGACATCTGCACCAGCTGATGTCGAGCTATAACGCTATAACATTTAATGTAGCCATTGAAAAGCTTTAACAAATTTGGGAAAGAAACCATTTGAGTTGCTTCAATTATCAAGAAAACGAAATCAAATAAAATTCAGATGCTGATAATGAACTACACATGCCAAGAACCAAGGAAAACAATAAGGGACCTATGGTGTGAACTCAAATATAAACAACACAACAAGCCGTGAGAAAAGTGTATATATGAAGATGAAGTACAATGAAAATGAAATCAATGAATTTGATGAAATTCTCTCCATATCAATGAAATAGGATTCTAGCAAGGGATTTTAGAGGTGAACCACTCCATGATCTTAATGGGAACCTTGATCAGCCCCAGCGCAAACTCGACGATGACCGTCGCACACAAGCAACATGGACATATGCATGTCAGCACCAACCTGCATCACCGAATACAGGGTTTCAACTTAATTTGCATCAGATCAGAAAGTTTAACGTCTCGTAGAAAATACGTCAACAGAGAAAGAGAGAGAGTGGGACTAACCCGACAATCCAGATGACAACCCCAACGAGGGACAGCAGTAGAGATAGAAAGGCAAATGGCAGACCCAGCAGAAAGCCTAAGGGCCTGCACTCGCAATCATCATCGCAGCAGCAGCAGCACATAGCTCTTCTTGCTTATTGATATCTTTTCTTCTCTGTTGTCAAGTTTCCTGGTTCTTTGTTGCTTTTATTTTGATAAGAACAAGGGGTGAGAACGGATATAGAAAGTTTTTTTTATGGACGGCAATCAAATAACAAGACAAATCGATCAAGTCTTTGAAAAAAATGTGTGCATATGCCATATATGTGCCGTTTACTCAATGCCAATCCGGAATATATGACAAAAGACAGATCAACAACCAATGTTTAATCCCCACGTAAGCCTCCTACTCTTGACTAATCTCGTGATTAGGAACCTTCGTTCTTGATTCAACGGTTCACGCCATCCCCTCTAAGAGTATATTTAAATATTTCTATGGCCAAAATAAAGCATGGGTCATGCCAGCTATATACATAATGGCCTGGAATTGGGCGTTGGATTAGCTGCTTGGAAAAGAATTGACTGAGAAATTTACATCTAAAAACATGATTGTTTAATGCAGAAAGAAATATTCCAAATGCTAAGAAAAATCTACCTGTACACTTCAGCATAAAAATTGAACAAAAGAAAGGAAAGAAAACCAGGTGCAAGCATGAAGAAAAGAATACAAATGACTTCATCATCAGGAGACACTAGGATAGCGTCCCAGTTTTGTCTTTTTCTTCATTTAGTTCTTACCTGGCAAGCGTTTTGATCCTTGGTAAATGACATGGGAGCAGGTGGTGAGTGCTATGGATAGTTTAAATGGAAGCTTAGGGATTAGCATAATCACTACAGAACTCACATTTAATTAGTCCATAATCTGCATTTAACATCCAAAACAAGTATCCAATCTTCAACAAACAGAAAAACCAACGGAAAAAGAAAGATCCACCACTGCAATCTCAGAAATGACTAGCAGCAAGTTGATAATTTACTAACAGCAATTCTAGCTTTTGATGAAATTGCAGTAGTTTGAAATGACAGCAGAGAAAGATATCATTACAAGGCTAAAAAAAATGAATACACGGGAAAATACATTTTAAAAGAATTTCAGAAATGACTGCTGAGTCCTAACAGGAAGCTATGTATATGACTTGTGCCAATCCTAACAATGTGAAAAGAAATACCTCTGTTCTCATTGATAAGAAAATTTGCAATCTTGTCCAGCTTAAAATCTTAACCCAGTAATATCTGTCACAAACCAATTGCTGTTGGCACTGGGCATCTTGTCAATATCCCTCTTGTTTTCAGTATTTCCTATATTATCTGGTCCTTCATTCCACACCCATCACCACCACACATCAAATCTTGTCCATCGTGAAACCTCACTCCACATCCACTGCACTGGTCACCACCAATCTTTAATTTTTCTACTTGGAGCGTTCAGCCATGGATACAATTACCAATCTTAAAGAAAACAGCCAAATCAACCCTGTTTGTGGTTGAAGTTCTCTGGGTGCCTTTTAGAGAATTTCAAGAGTAAACATCAGAATTTCTGTCCTCTGCAGATCTCTGTTTCTTAGAATATATTACTTCTTCCACCCATGATGGGTCCAACATACAAAGAGCATATTAATGAAAAATTAGTTTCATAAAGATTATCTCTGATACAGCTAATGCTGAGGCTATTTTGTAAAGCAACGGGAAGTCAGTGATCTCTTCCACTTAGAATATTAGTACACCTCTTTATGAGCAAGAAACCTCACAAGCCATCTTCAGTTCCAATCCAACTATGGCCTGTATTTTTCAGTATGCCTCTGACTTTCATAATCTCCCTTAGTTCACTTACATATTCCCATTTCCCAGCAGCTGCCAAAGTATTAGAAAGTGCAACATATGCCCCAGGCCGACCATCAGCATTCAACTTAAAAAGTTCATTGGCAGCCACACCTGCCATCTCTACATCACCATGAAGCCTGCATGAACTAAGTAAGGCTGCCCAAACATCGGAATTGGGCTTCTTTGGCATACCCATTACAAATTCCCAAGCTTGATGTAAACTTCCTGCACGTCCCAGGAGATCAACCATACAAGCATAATGCTCCATATTTGGTTTCACAGAGTAATCTTTCTCCATGCTCTCAAAGATCTCACAGCCTCTATCAAGCAGGCCAGCATGTCCACAGGCTGAGAGAGCACCAAGGAATGTAACATCATTTGGCTGAACACGACACTGCTGCATCGTATAAAAGAGCTCAAGAGCTTCATTTGGATCTCCATTCTTCCCATATCCATCAATCATGGAGGTCCACGTAAATACATTCTTTTCTGACATGTTGTCAAAAATTCTCCTTGCATCCTCAATTCTTCCACATTTTGCATACATGTCAACCAGAGCACTCCCCATTTTTATGTCTGTGAAGAGCTCAGTCTTCATTACTTGACATTGAATTTGCTGACCAATTTCAGCAGCTGTTAACACAGAGCAAGCTCCTATAATGCTTGCAAAAGTTGAGATATTGGGCCTGAAATTTAATCGCTGCATGTCAACATAAGTCTCAAGCGCTTTCCTAGCTGTTAGAACTGATTTGCTGTAACCTTCAATCATTGCATTGAAAACCACCACATCTTTTTCAGTGGTTCTCTGGAATATAATCTCAGCCTCCTCAATAGAGCCTTGATTCATGTATCCAGATATCATTGATGTTGAACATATCACATTCTTTTCTAACATCATATCAAACACAGTCCTGGCATAACCAACCTTTCCACTCTTCACGTAGGAGTCAACAAGTACCGTATAAAGCACTTCATCAGGCTCAATGTCCAATTTCAGCATCTGGGCATGTACTGCCCTTCCTAGACTATGCGGCAACAGCATCTTACTAGTACAAGTAGACGCCTTCAAAACCATTGAAAACGTAAATGCATCAGGCGCTTCACCAGAAATCACCATTCTACGAACCAAATCAAGTGACTCCTCAATTTGGCCATGTTTCAAGTACCCATTAATCATATAATTATATGCAGACAGAGTTCGCTGAGGCAATTCATCGAACACTTGGCGAGCATATCTCAGGCAAACACATTTCAAGTACAGAATAAGGAGTTTGATGGAAATATTAGTATTGGGTGTATACCCAGATTTAATAATATGGGTATGAATCTTTTGGCCATGAAAAGGGGTATCTGAGTTAATGAAGTGTTGGAGAGCAGGAGCCAGGGAGGCTGCCGTTGGGTGAGTATGGACATGACTTTCTGGCGGGAAAGAATGGATTGGAAGGGCCAAGGTGCTGTGATTGTGGAGTGATGAAAAAATGGACGGTCTGATTGTGAGCAGCTTTCCATTTTTCATCTTCCCATCTGATCAGTCATGAACCTGGAAAGTATGGGTAGATCAGCCTGGAGAAATTCAACTTCTGGTTAACTGGCTTTTATGCTACTCGGAAAAAAGAAAGATATAGATATAATTCTTGGGCCTCAATTCTAACAACAAATGGGCTGATTTGGGCTGAATTATAAACTCATTACCCGTCCGTCATACTCCTATCGGATAAGGAAAACGATAAATTTGGGCCCATTTGTCCTATCAAAAATCCTTTTCTTTTCTCTTTGCGGAAAGAAAACTGCTTTTTTTTCTTTTTTTTTTTCCGTTTCAAAAAAAAAAAAAGCAAGGTTTTTTAAATCCTTTGTCAGAAAATGTTTATGGGATCCTTATACCATACTACAAAATAGGAACTATTAAATGAGAAGAGACCCATGATACCAGAGGACTTGCTCTTCATCAAGAATTTTTGTAGGGGTGTTCGCGATTTAATTTGATTTGAATTTTAATAGTTTTAAACCAATTTAATTTAATTGATTAGTAAAATTTTTAAATCAATTTAATCTACTATAATATGATAACCAAACCAATCAAATTTAAATCGGATTGGTATGATTTGGTCAATTGATTGGTTTTTAACATTATTAAATATATGAGATAATATAAAATATTTTAACATTAGTTAGAAAATATATAACCATAAAACACACTAACATCCAAATTAGTGGAAACATACTAAAAAGCACATATTATAAATAAGTTCTTATACTCCTTTACAATTGCAAAGATTGAAAAAATCTAGAAATTTTTCTTGGCTATGCCATCAGAGGCTCCAAGGACAATAAAAAATGACTTTAAGTTTCAAATACAGTGCAAATAATTCTTAAAAGTTAGGCTTTATTTTTTCTTATTGCACCAAATGATTTAATCTCATCTTCCAAACCTTGTTAAAAACAAATAAAAATTAACATAAATATCACTAGAATTGATTAAAAATATTCATAATCAAGATTTAAAATTTCTCAACCAAACATCTAAAAATAATAGTAGAATATCAATATTAGTTATATTATATAGTTTTAAGATTTTTATAATGATACTTCTTTAAAACTTAATTAGGAAAATTAGAATATCATTTTAGGAACAAATTAAAAATTTAACATGCTAAGAGTAGAGTTGCAGAACAACTCTGAGAGGTAGATTTTCAGATAAATTAAAAATTTAAAATTAGGGCTACAGTGTACGATTAAGAAAGAAAAATAAATTACGGAATATAAAGATATTCTATTTTTATTTTTTAATTAAATTAATAGAGTTATTATTTTGTAAAATAAGAAAAAGAAAAATCTAAAATACTACTAAAGTATATTATATTATTTAGTTAAGTTATCTTGTAATCAGATTTTATTTTATTTTATAATCAGACGGTTTGAGTAGTTTGACAATAAAACTACAATCAAATCAATTATATCAGTGTTAAAATTTTATAATCTAAACCAACCCAGTTTTATATCAAATTGGTTTAGTTTTTTTATTGAATTGGATTAATTTTGGTTAGATCAATTAGATTATATTGAATATGAACACTCCAAATTTTTTGTTGTATAATTTAAACTACATAATATTTTTTTAAATATTTATTTTGTTAAAAAAACTTAAATAGTATGGTATAATATCTTTCCTTCTTAGAATATATATATATATTTTTAAAAAGAAAATATCTTTGCTTCTTAGGCTATATATATAATATCTTGCGTTCTCAAGAGTTAAAAATTCTAGATTTAAATCTGTAATTCATACTAATTGGGTGAGTAAATAAATAGTGAGATTCTTTCGTGAAATCCAAAAGCCAATATTTAATACTAATAACTTTTGTTTGATTATTCAACCACTTGGGGAAAAAACATTGCCACATCTCCACTTGCAACAATCATTTTCCCGCAAAGCAAACACGCATGAGGAACCTTTTCCCCCTTTGTGCGGATGACCAATAACAATTTCCATTTGATTCCACATAACTTCCTCATCGTGTGGGTTGCTAATTGAACTGCTTTTCCTTTCTTCTTCGCCTAAAGCCCTAAACTGACTATAGAATCTTAGACCAATTAATTACTTAATTACATGCACAAACATTAAATTAATGCTCGCCAAATATAGCTAATTAATTAATGACACAACAATAATGATATGTATACAAGTTTTTTTTTTTTTTTTTTTTTTTTTCATTTGCAACTTACATATCATTAAATAAGTAAATATTTATAATATTATAAATTTCAATAAAATAAAATGAATTAATTAATGAATAATATATAAAATTATACAAAATAGTTTATAAAAAAATGTATTCCAATCATTTTCCATCCCATAATTAATCATACAGGATACAGCTGGTAATTAAGTAACCCTAGTGATGATCTTTGCACCTAAATAAACAATGTGGTAGGGCCCTATTGATGTGGGTTGGTATAATGTCCATTGAAACATTGACCTAATTGGAACAAAATACGAACAACAGTTTTAACCTTCATTCTCTGTTTGATTCTTGAGGAAGCAAAAAAGAGAAGGATTCGATCGGATTTGTACTCTACAAAAGCACAAGGAATAATTTTTTATCAGAAAGTGCAAGGAATTTTTGTGGGGAAAACCAAAAAAAAAAAAGAAAAAAGAAAAAAAAAAAAGAGGGTGTAGAATCCCACACGCTCAATCATATGAGGTATTTTCTTCTCTTTCTTTTTTCTTTCTTTCTTTTTTTTTTTTTTAATTCCTCCTTTTCTTACCTTTTCTATAGAGGCAATGATTTGAAAAAGATAGTTTTTATATTATTCAAAGTTCCAAACACCGAGATTGGATCTCATCGTCTTCCTATGTTCTGCAAATATATATATACATATATATATATATATATAGTTCTTAATAAGAGAAATATTATAACAAAGCGAAAATACATCAGTAGGTTATGGGGATTTTAATCCCTAAAAAAATATCAGCAATACATGCATATTTGACCGAGTGAGGGATACAATCAAACACAACAAAATCATTCAAAATATTGTGTCCCCATGGCATCCGCTGTTCTGCAAATCTTTGACAAAGCAATGCTAATTCTTTAAAAAATAATAAAAAAAATTAATCATTACTTTTATTTGTTTCGGCTATTGCACTCTCGGGCCAGTTAGGACTTAAGACACTCTTTAAATTGAGCTTGGTGTATTTTGTAACGATTAGAGAGGGAATATTAACCATGAATTTTTTCTACATGAACCCTTATTTAATTTGATGTACTATTCTTTGGAAATAGCATGACATACTATTATAAAAAGGATTAATGTCACAATGTCCTTTGCGCAAGATCATCATAATTAGGTACATACCTTAATCACCGGCGCATGCTTGCTTATACTTTTTTTTTTTTTCTTTAGATTTTTGTATTTTTGTTTATCTACTCCTAAAACAAGGGTTTCTTCTCTTTATGGGAAACAGGGGATTTAATTTGGGAGAATAGTGAGTCTATACGTACGAGATATCAATTCGAAGCATATATGGATGATAGATAAATAGCAATAAAAAAGAATTATAAACCTAACTATGTAGAACCCATAACATGCATCTTGATATTTTAAATTAAAATGATCTTTTTTAGAGGGACAATAGTCTTAATATAAAAAACAAAAAGTTGAGAAAATATCTTCGTCCATGCATATTTTATATAATTTCTTCTTTTTTTTAGATAAATATATTAATATCTTTTAAAAGAAGACCTTCTTGGAGTGGTCCATTTTGGTATTTTGCAAAGTGACATCATTTTGGCTCTCCATGATATAGTAGCTGTGCCTTTCCTAACTCTTAAAAGTTGGCTCTGTTTTCTTTTGTAAAATTATTATAATCAAAACCATTATTTAAAAGAAAGTTTAAGCCCCAACTAATGGAAAAACATGTTAATTATTTAAAGAAAAAAATCAACTAATGAATTGATTAATACTAGTGGACCATGGCCAAGATATTAATTATTAGCACCAATTTGAAGTCTCTTTCACAACTTCCCTAGTTGCCTCCTCCCATTATATGTAGGCATGAATCGTGATAGACCCACCACAATCATCAATATTGCCCTCACGGCTCTTAAAGATAAAAGGCCATCTCAAAGCTCTGCCTCATAATAGAACTAACAATAGAAGGAAAAGGAAGACCAAGGAAATCCCTCATCCAATATTGTTCAAGTTTTAGGCGAGGCTCACATGTCACAACAAGGTTAGCTTTTAGAAGTTCTTTTGTTTTGACGCAGGTGTATGTATTTACCCCCATTTATTTGAGTAAGGTGAGTAACGTACAACCGGCATGCTATGGCCTTGTTAGATTAAACTTGGGGCTTGAGAATCACGAAATGAATAAGAATTTATGTAACTAGCTCACCTAGGAGGTAAAATCACATTTGGTTTGACCATATTTTGCATTAGATTTTATTCACACGATATCATATTTAAAAATATAAATTTATTATTTTTAATTAATTATATATATTTTTTATTAAGTTTAATTAATATTATATATATATAAACTTATAGCTATAGCATGGCATGACACACTGCAATATGGATAGATGAAGCCTCAATGTGGTAAGATGCATTATAGGAGAAAAGATATAATTGCAAAAAATAATAAGAAAATAAATTATATAATAAAACATGTGAATGAGGTTATTTGCAAACGTCCATTATATCAGTCAAGCTAAAGGCCAAACACTTATATTACACAAAGAAAAAAAAAAAAAAAACTATTACCTCCTCAGATCATGATCTATGTTCTTGTGCTTCAGGTTTTCTAATTTGTGTTACTAGTATTCTTTAACTTTTCTCCTTGTGAATTCATTTTAAACATCTACACCTTTCGTCCAAAATAAGTACTAGTATTGGTATCCTTTTACTTTGCCAAATTAATTGTATATCAACATTTTTAAGATTAATCTAATTTTTTTTCCTTCTTACAGGGCTTAACCACCTAGAAGTTCTTCCATTATTTATTTTGACCATTAGCTTATCAATGTATATTTGATGTATTTTAATTTAT